GTTCCCTTAATCCGGCTAAGGTCTGCGCTCGCTGTGAGAATAAAGATGATATACGCTCCGGGCCGGAGAGCAGCGCCCTGGATCCCTCTGTACCCATGCCCCCGGCCTCTCTCTCTCTCTCTCCCCCCTCTCCCTCTGCCTCAGGCCGCGGCTGTTCACCGGCGCTTGCCGGACTCAGCTCGAGTTTCCCCGCAACAAAATGTTCCTGATTTTGGTCATCGTAATACAGCTAACTTGTATGGAAAGATCATTTAAAAAAAAACACCTCTCTCTCTCCGTGCTGTACAAATTTTTCACTTTACCGAGGGAGTTTAACAGATAATTAAGGTGTGTGTTTGGTTAATGGAAACAAGAAACTCTCGGTCGTGCGCCAGGCGCTGTCTTTCTTATATTTTCGCCCGTTTAACAGCAGTAAAAGGTTTGTCGCCTGTTTTCAGTTGGATTCCCCCGATTTTGATTAATTGCCAACTTTATTTGAATATATGCGCCAATGTGCTGTTTCACGTTATACATTATCACATAATGTACTGCTTAATTTAATGAGGTTACTGATCAGCCGCACGTTTATAGAATCGCTCCGCAACCGGTCCGGATTTGCGGTGCTGTGCGGCGCCCCTTGTACTTCACATACCGCGTAAATCACGAAATCTGCCACACAGAGGTTAAACACTATTTCGGCTTCAGGAGCAATTTCTTTGCATTACTTCTAAACACCATAAAAGAATCTGTACGAGCTACATTAATTGTAAACGTCTCACACTGGCAGACTAATCCCTCTTGAAGAGAACCAGAAAAACTCTTAAACTTAATCGCCATATGCTTCGCATTAAGGTATCAGATGGAACCTTTTTCCCCCCTCAAATAGGAAAAAAAAACTCGGTCTTTACCCTCCAATCCACCAGGGGTTAGCACAGAAACAGACACAGTCGTCCTGCGAGAAACACACAGTCAAGCCGCTCCGGTTGTAGGCGGGACGTCCTGTAATCTTGGCCAATGGGGATCGAAGACGCCAGATTCAGCCCGGAAGAGGTTTTGAGACCAACCCTCCAATGAGAAACGATGTGGTGCCGGTTTGCCGGTCACGCTTGCCAATCGGATTGAGGGGATGCGGTGACGTCATCGCGCGGACCAATAGCGCGGCGCGACTGCTGTCCCGGTGGCTTCACCTCCGGATCTCCCATTGGTCACTTGCAAGGTTGGTCTCTGAACCGGGGCCAATGGCGTGCAGAGGAGACCCGGCGGTGGCCAATGGGGGTTGAGGACAGTGCGTCGGGTGTTATAAATGACAAGGTGACAGGGGAGGCCGGTTTATTCAGCCGCTGCTGCGTCGCTTGTAGCGTGTCCCTGCTTCCCAACCTGTGAGAGCGCCGCAAAAAACCCCGGTAATGGTCCATTTTGTTGCATGTCTTCTATATTGCAAATGGCCTGTTATCGTCAGGCCATTTATTAAGCAGATCATCTTTTTTTTTATTCATTTTTTAAGTGAATGTTAAAATGGTTGGGCCTCGGTTGTCTTCCATGTTCTGCTTGTGCAGAGTCTTAAGTCCGCCTGGCTGTGTGACCTTTCGGGTTGGCATCGCCTCTGTAAGCTGGTCGGTCTGTGAATCACTCAGCCTAGCCAGGGGGTTGCACTCGATACAAGCTGGGAACGAGCAGCTTTTTCTGCTCAAGCGGGAGACCTGCGGGTTTTTTTTTTTCCTGCAAGATGTCTGACGCGTCCTGGGCCTGGGCGTCGGTCCAGCCCGGAGAGCAGGTCTGCAGCTGATATTTGAGGTCTTCCCCAGAGGTGTTTCAAGTCTTTTTTTCTTCCCCCACCGCGATCGAAGGGGGTCGTTTTGAATTTGTGAAATTCGTGTCCGCCTGTGCAGGTCCCAGTGCTGTAGTTTCCCTCATGACCTTCACCGCGGAGAGCTGTGTGCGGCACTTGCCCCTGTAATCCTGACCCCTGGTCTCATTCTTCTGAATGAAAAGGGGCAAGTGGTTTTCTCGGCGACTGTAAACGAAAAATCTTCTTTTTATGCGCAAGAGGTAACGGCAATGCCCGCCCCCAGTACAAAACCGAGCTTTTCTGACAGTGACAGGTCAGAGGTACCTTAACAGTGTTAACCGAGAACATTGCTTGTTTGAGGAGGAGCGATTAGATCAGGATATCGACTTGGTATTTTTTTAAATACGTTTTGTATGCCAGTGTTCAACATCTGGAAGTACGTCCTTTTTTCCGTTTCCAGTAATAGCTTAGCGCTAATTCAACACAACGTAACGTTAGGTCCTGTGTCCTTGTCTCGATCTGCAGTCCTGTTAGGTGTCTGAGAACCCCTGTACTTCTGTACCGGCCTGTGAAGGTGGGGGGGTGCCTTGCCCTTACCCTAAATTTCAAGATTAGTTATCTAGTTTTTTTGCGTGAGAGTCTCTCCCTTCGAGGCAATCTGCTGTCACAGTACAGGTTGGGGTGTTTGTAACGTTTTGTCTTGCAGTGTAGAAATAAGTTCTAGTTAGGATAAGGGTATTGTCGGGCTGCTCCTGTGTATTAACACCATAAAATTGTTCAAATCCATTTGGTCTTCACCCATACGTCTACACGGTGGAGGAGTTATTGAGGCATCTTGACTTGTTGTGGGGTGTGACTGTCCCCCTTTATTCTTAAAAATGTTCGCGATGTAGACCTGTGCTAAGTTTGTCCCTCTTTCTCCTCACAGGCCTTCAGGATGTACACCTGTGCTAAGTTTGTCACCTCACCTGCTGTGGTAAGTTGCACCCCGGATCTTTGCCGGAGGTCTGCTTGCCCACCTCTTTCAGAGGGGTTTGGTCTCTCCCTGTAGCTGTAGGGAGGAAGGCTTTGGGGAAGTGAGGTCAGGAATCGCACCAAGGGTTTGGGGGTGGGAGGGTAGTGGTGCTGCAGCTGGGAGGAGAGTTCCTCAGGTCCCCTGGCTGCTGGCTTCTCGCATGGGGGAGGCAAATGGCAGGACTGCAGCTGAGAGAAAGCTGGTCAGTCGGGGTGCCTCAGTTGTCAGGCCCAGTGTTCTGGAGTGTAGCTTTTACGGAGGTCAAGGGGGGGCACTCAGAAATGCTCACACCCCTCTTTCCGACTCCTGACCTTCTGCTTTCCCCAACAGTTGCGCAGTGGCTCCAGACTCCTGGCCCGGCCCCTCTCGGTGTCCGTGTTCAGCAGGCCTGATACCGCGAGCGAGCAGGTGAGTTTCTGGGTGGCGCACCTGGTGCCTGTTCTGTTGAACCCGTTCGCGTTGGTGGGCCTTTGAGCCGTGAAGGTCTGGCTGTGCTGAGATCAGGCCCGATGAGATTTGATCTGGTGTTTGAGTTCCTGGTTGTGAGCCACATTTTTTTACCAACATAGTTCAGCTTTTTTATTTTACCATTAATCGTCCAATTAAAAAAAAATTGAGGGGTATGTTTAGCCTCCTTGAGCATCTGTTTACCCTCACATGTAGCCATCAGAATTGTGGATATTTTGCATCTTTGCATTGCAATCTGTATTCGTTTTGAAATATTGTATGCATTGGCGCACATCAGTGTTCTCTTGCTGTACTGGATGCAAATTGCACCAGCTATTGCTGAGGTAGTAAAGGATTATAATAGTGTTGTGCAGGCAGGATGAGTAAAACGCCTTCTCTTCTGCCCTCAGCCCCTATTGCCCCACAGCAGGGTGACGGGTCTCCAGGTTGTCTCCCGGTGGTTCCAGACCAGCGCGGTGTCCCGGGACATTGACACCGCTGCCAAGTTCATCGGCGCCGGAGCCGCCACTGTGGGCGTGGCGGGATCCGGCGCGGGGATCGGCACAGTGTTCGGCAGCCTGATCATCGGCTATGCCAGGTAAGACCCTGCCCCCAGCCTGGGTGCCATGTTCAGGGCGGCCTGTGACTCGGCGCCTCTCTCGTATGCATTTGTCTTGCATCCTTGAACACGGACTCCTGTAGGTCAGGCCTGCTTCAGGCTCGTTCGTAAGAGGCGTTTTCATTCCGGTGCACTCCTGCATTCACATGGGAGGGCTGTACTTGCTATATGTATAAAGGGTACTGATGTTTCTTTAAGAGCATAAAGGTTATGACGGGACCCTCTGTGGTCGGTAAGGCTTAAGAGCACGGCCTGAAATGCATTCATAAGGGTTACTAAAGCAGAACCCCAGAGTTCGATGGGCAGAAAGGTTAACAGTTTTCCTCCAGTGCCGATGGATGCTGGGCAGTTCACTGAAGGCCCATGCAGAAAGCCTTTGTACATGGTTTGTCATGAATGCCTGCTTCTCCACTTGTTAAAATGGGCCTCCTTAGCTTGTACCCTTCCAGATGCAGCACTGTGGCGTGACCGGCGTTTTGATTTTGTGGGATCAGCAATGTTAAAGTTAATTTGTTGCATTCGAGCTCAGTCAGTGAGGAGCTGTAAAAAGGGCTACAGGTAGGACAGTCCTACTTCTAAGAGGTGGCGCAGGAGTTGTTGAGGCCGAGGTGGTGCCAAGTGTCCTGATCCCTGACTGTCCTCCTCTCTCCAGGAACCCCTCCCTGAAGCAGCAGCTCTTCTCCTACGCCATCCTGGGCTTCGCCCTGTCAGAGGCCATGGGGCTCTTCTGTCTGATGGTGGCTTTCCTCATCCTCTTTGCTATGTAAATTTTTTTTTCTCCCCTCTCTGCTCCCGGTTTTTTTTGCGTGCTCCCTTGGGAAGGGGGTGGGGGGCTGGGGGGGACTCGCCAGGTGTCTCCCTACTACCCCCGCTGCCCCAAAACCATCCTCCTGGGGGGGTCAGGCTCAGACGTGCAGCTGGTGAGGCCGTGACATCGCCATTCCAATCGTACTGAAATGAAACTGATTCTACCTTGTTTTTTTTTCAACATTTTATGTGAGATCTCATCAACATTTAGGCAAAATTTGTCTAAATAAATAGTTGGGAAAACCTAAGTTGTTGTTTTTCTTTCTCCTGGCCTGCACTTCCCTCAAGTGTGGGGTGTTAATTGCAGAGTCTGACTAAAACGATGCAAGAAAGGATGAGGTTTGACGAACAGGGGGGTAACGCTGTAAGGTCACCCCCCCCTATTTGGGTTTGTAGCCTCCTAGTTTGAGGCTTCAGCTGACAAACTTCAGTCTGGCTCTGAGCCGAGGGATCAAGTTTTGGAAACTTGTGAAGTTCATTGAAGGCTTTATTTTAACTGAAATCTTGGCCCTTAACTGTTTATTTTTAGTGTGGATTCTACAGAGTATTTGCTGGCTTTCATGCAGCAAACCGGTTGAAAGTGCCTGCAGAACTCAATTCGGGGTGAGCTGAATTAGGCTGAAAGGATCTGAATTCATAAAGCCAACAACTCCCAGTTGAAGAGCTGGGAGAAGACCGTTACCTCAGTCTGGGTCAGCCAGGGACCACCTGGTTTTGGGATGGAAGCCTGTATCCAGTCCAGTTCTCCAGGACCAGCAGTGGGCTGCTCTGTGCAGTGGTTTCATCCTGGACTGGTCCTGAGCCAGCTCAAGGGTACCTGCAACACAGCAGGAACTCCAGCTGGATACACTGTTCAAAACCCAGCCAATGGAGATGCAGTCAAACTCTCAAGGGCTGTAAATGGTTACTACAGCTGCTGTTAATTAAGCAATTGGCAATCTGCTGCTGTTGCAATAGTGGGGAACTTTCACCTGCATGCCTTTTTTAAATGGTGATTGAGAGAAAAATCAATAAAAATTAGAATAGTTTCTCAAAGGGAGAAACTGCAGTTTGTATGCAAGGGGCAGAAATGACATGCTACATTACTCACTTTAAAACTGTGTTGGTGATATTTACATTTTTTTTTTAGTTGTAGAAAACCTTTCCTTCGCTTAATAGTGGCTTATGAGCAGTCACTCACTTAAAGCAATTTGTTTGGTTATTGGCTCTTCGATGGCTGCAATTGTAGGTATATATTAGATCTCTCCTAAATCCTATAGCAAAACAGCCTCTCCTAGTGTAGCTCAATGAACTGCCTTCTACAGAAAATGGGCCCCTTCTCATTTTAGACTGATGCAACAAAGCTGTTTGTTCTGACAGGTGCCCCCACTTGCTACTCGGTAATACAAGTATGAATAAATGCCCAACTGAAGTGACCTTATGATCACGATGGGGTTGTTTGTGAAATGATTTACAAACCACACAGCTGTCAGGTGAAACGGTAGCTCTTACCCGTGGGCTCTGGTCTGGAGAAACTCAAGTTCCAGCACGCAATGGTGAAAAGCCTCCAACACCCAGGAGCACCGCCGCGCCGAAGTGCCTGGAGTCAACATTTCCACCCCATTAAAATACATTCGTCGAAAAACTTTACAAGGTTGTTTTTCTTTACGGCACTATGTCAAGGTGAGGGTAAAAAAAAAAAATATTCGAGAAATGTATGAACATTTTGCCGTTTGGAAGCACCTTGCCTTGATTTGAAGAACAGGTCCCCCACATTCTGGAAAGGTTCCTCGACGAATAACGGCGTCAAGCCGCGAACTTGTTCCACGGTGAAACTTTGAGCCCCAAAGTGAGGCTCCGGTCCCGCTGTTCCCCCTGACCCTCTCGGGGCTCATTCGAGGAGTGGGACACTGGTCGGTGTCTGAGACACAGGGCCCCGCTGTCCGACTGGGCAAAGCCGGAGAGGAGGCCGCACACCTGGGGACAGGTGCTAAACAGGTGGGGGGCCTCGTGACGCTCCCTTCGCTTGTTGCCAGGTTATCTCAAAACAGGGTTTGAATTATTAGTGTACCCCTCATTGTGCATCACCCCCGGTTCACACTGAATCACCGGGCTTGTGTGCGACAGCTCTCGGGGGGAAGGCTGTGTCTGAGCTGCCGTCGTCCTGGATTATCAGTTTCAGAAAGTGCAGCTTCGGCTTCGGATCTGTCAAGGGTACTTTTGCTCTTCTCTGAAATCCCCGGAGTTTTTTTTTTTTGTTTGTTTTCCTTCTTTGTTGTAACAGCTCTCTTGGAAACTACTGGTAGCTCCAGGAAATCCCGATTTTTTTTTTTGCGGTACGAAGTTATCGCCGGTTCTCCATGCAGACTCCCCTATCCGGTGGGAAATGGAACAGTCCGTTTTCTCTTGAACGTGGCCTGAGCTCAGCGCGGGACAAAACCAATTTATCTTGGAAGGAGAGGGGGGGGGAGGAGGTATCAAAAGCCAGAGGACACCTCGGGTCTTTAAACAAACGGCACATAGTTTTGTACAGGAAGGCTGAGGAGCTCACATCGTTTTCTACAGGAAAAAAAAAGAAAAATACTCAGCATTTGTGTGACATATATTATTAATACATATTCGGGTTCTGACACTCGGGAGAAGTTCCTTTCTACGGGGGAAAGTCACTTTTTTCTTTTTTGCCACTGCATGCACTAGCACTAGCAGATATGCAGTGGTCGCTTCTTCCAGCTCTTTCAGACGCTTTTTATCCATTTGAAAGAAAGAAAACTGCAAACTGCATTCCACTCCGTGTTCTAATTTATTAAGAGGAGAAATCCTGACAGCGAATTAGCAAACGGATCTTCCCACACATGTTTGCGCCGCGCATCAGCCTGTACGAGCTGCAGATCCGGGACGGGCCGCTGGGGGGCGCTGTGGGCCGCCGTCAGAGGAGGAAGTACCTGAAAAAACAGCGTCAAGACTGAGCAGGGAGAGTGAGTGAGAGCGCAGGCGGCAACCCAGTTCACTTGGGCCGACAGAGAAGCGGGGTTTAAGACAAATAAAGATACGGCCGTCTTCGGTGTACCGTGCTAGACCCGCACCTGGGAGGCCCAGGGCTGTGCACGAGTCGCCCTTCTCCTCCTCCTCCTCCTCCTACTCCACCACCACCTCCTCTTCCTCCTCCTCCTCCTGCCTGGAGACGGACGGGTGCAGGTTGGAGCAGAAATAGGACTTAGCCGTGGCTGTCGGGGAGAGAGCGGTCAACTGGCGGAGAAGACGGGCGTCTTAAAAAAAAAAAATTACCCCCAAAAAGCACACGCGCAAGGCAGGAGCAGGAAGATGGCGGAGAGCGCAGGGGAAGAGGCGTCGGGGATCGGGGTGACCGGGTCGACACACTCGGGCGGCGGAGCCCAGTTCTCGCCCGGTTCCGGGAACTCGGTACCGGGGGACCCGAGTGGCGCCGCCCCGGACTCCGTGCCCTCGGCCGCGGCCGCCCCTGAGACCGTCCCCCCTGTCTCGACTCCGGACATCCCCTCCCTGCCCGCCTCGGCCATCGGCGTCCTGGGCACCGCGGTGGGCACAGCCATCTTAGCCCCGTCCCCCGGCCTCGGCCCCGCGGCTCCGGCCATGGTCGGCACCGCCGTGCTGTCCCCCAGCATCGGTCTCGGGGTCACCGGCACCCCGAACCTGGCCGGGGCGGGGCTGCTGTCTCAGATCCACTCGACCTTCTGGGATCCGACAGTCAGCAGCGACTGGGACAGCGAGAAGCCGTCCCAGCAGTGCATCCTGCGGATCAAAAGGTACAGAGAGCCGGTCTGCCTGTCCGGGGTCCACAGCGAGCGAGTTTGTTTTCTCTGGGGGCTGAGAGGGAAGTTATGATTGGGGGTCACTGTCTGGAGTCACTTTGTTTTTTGGCGGGGGGGTGGTATTGATGTTAAGGACAAGGCGACGCACCGCCCTGAAACTTAGTATTTTTTTATGCATCAACAGAATCGAAAGAGGTGGCTGATCAGAACCGTGTTATTTGTAAACCATAATCACTCGCCACGATAGGCGACAGTCATGGGCCGGTTTAGTTCATTCGTATGCGAGCTGTAGGGAGCAGCGTTTTGAAGCGTGAAGACTTTTGAATGCAGGAAAGCTTAGAAACGACAGGAGGCCTTTTAGACCCATCTGACTCGTTTTGTCGCTGCTAGCTGGTTGACTAGAGGGTCTCCTCTGTCCGTTTTACTGCAAGGGAACCCCAACCCAACCCCAGCAACGTGCCTGCGCAGCTTGTTGCAGACCCCTACAACCCTTTGTGTAAAGGGGCCCCCTCCTGTTCTCGGTTATAGATGCGCTTCTGCGTGATTTCCCGCTGGTGAAGGGGTCGTGTCTCACTGTTGATTCTGAAGTGCCCCGTCTCGGCTTGGTCAGTACCTTTTAGGATTTGGAACACTTGTCTCGGGTCCCCTGGAAGCCTGCTCTGTTCAAGACTGGACAGGTCCTGTACCTCTGGACTGTCAGTGTGGGGTGTTACTTCAAGACCAGAGTGTATCTGGTGGCTCTTCTCTGGACTGATTCCAGAGGAGAAATATATTTTCTTCAATGCGGTGACCACATCTGTACACAGTATTCTAAATGAGGCCTTTCTAGCGCATGTACTGTAATATAAAATAACCTTTTGATTTAAACTCTCTGCTTTTAACTGTATATCTCAACATCCTCAGCTTTTTATCTTCTCCCAACACTGTCTAGAATATATAACATGAGACCAAAAGACAGGTTATGAACTGAAGAAGCTATTCAGCACATTTGGCCTGTTTAATAGTTTGTAGATAATTGATCCCAGAATCTCGTCTGTTTTTTTTTTATTAAAGAAGCCAGGGTATCAGCTTCAGCAAAATGGTTGGGCACCTTGTTCCAGACCCCCACCACCCTTTGTGTAAAGTGCATTCTCTGTTCGTGTTTAATTCTCTTTCCACATTGTCCCCTGACGTTCCCTCTGTATTCCTGTTTCGCTGTTTGTTCTGAAATTCGGTAAATCCTGAGTATTCAGACGATATATAAATGCTGTGTCAGCACAGACACCGAATTGACATCCAAGAGCCAAGTCATGTTTTCCATCACTCGGCTGGGAGAGGAGCTCGGGATAAGCCTGCAGGCCCTTTTATCGCTTGTGCAGAGCTCCGGGCCAGCGCAGGCAGTGTACAATTAGATTTGTATGAGCTGTGTCAGCACACGTTGACCGCCAAGGAGCAAGTCGAAGTTAATTCCACACTGAAATCCCAACACCTGCAGAAGAGTCAGCGGCTGAGACGTTGCGCATGTTCTCTCTGCTTTTTCCGGCGGGGAATTATGGTCTGCTTGTTGCTGTTTGTGCGGGCTGGTAGGTGCAGGAGGCGTGTGGTGCTGGGAGGGGGCTGTGCTCCTCCCAGGCTGTGTGGCGACAGTGGCTGCCCACCTCCGAAGACTCGCACGGGAAGCTGTGTCTCTTCCACTTCCTGTGGGCTGGTCTCTCTGCCGGGTGGGAATTGTGGGAGATTCCTGGCTGTGCCGGCAGATGTGTTCCACATGGGAGGCGGACTCTGCAGTAACGCCCCTCGCAGAATGAGTGCGAGGATAAGCCTCCCTGCTTGTTACAGTTCTTCGCTGGTGTTTGCGTGCAACGTTTCTCCTCGGAAGGCGATGACAGTGCAGTAGCAGGGAGAGAGGGGGGGTGATGATGGAGGGGACCAGAGGAGGCAACACTGTACCTGTGAAGGGATAAGATAAGATAAAATAAGATCACTTCACTGGCCATATACAATTTCTTGTCTTAGGAATTTATGTTTTTGCATATCCCATCTTGCTCTCCACGAGACACACGGACAGGGAGAGAAGCTGGGGGTCAGAGCGCAGGGTCAGACATTTATACAGCACCCCTGGAGCAGCTGGGGTTAAGGGCCTTGCTCAGGGGCCCAATGGAGTAGGATTCCTCTGCCGGCTGCAGTATTCGAACCAGCAACCTTCCAGCCACAGCCACAGGCGCAGATCCTGAGCCACAGAGCCACCACACCACTCCTTATGTTATAAGGTGGAATTTTAATGGTCTATCAGATCAGTTAATATTGTGTTAATGATGACCCTGCTTACCCTGTGTTGTAAGAACCAGGTTCAATCATCTCTCCCTTTCTCTCCCTCCCTCCTCCCCCTGCACCTGCCACACAGAGATATAATGTCCATCTACAAGGAGCCCCCGCCAGGCATGTTTGTGGTGCCGGACCCCCACGACATGACCAAGGTAATGCCGGCTCGATCCGATCGCCGCCTGTGTCCCCGTCCCTCGGGAATCTCTCATCCCCTTCCCACGGAGCGCTGACCCACCGGTACGGACTAGGGTCGCGTCCTGCCTGTTCCAAGTGCTGAGCGCCTCGCAAGATGCCTGAAAAAAAAGATTCTAACCCCCTACTTTCCCTGGAGCAGCGGTCAGGAGGAGTGCGCAGCCGTTCAAGCTGCAGTTCTGAGTCCTGACCGGAGCTCACGCCCGGTCACTACTCGCTCTGTCCTCTGTCCACGGCTGGAGACCCTGCTGGGTGGGGGCTGGGGGTCGCGCGCCTGCGCCCCTGTCTGAGCCAGCCCTGCTCACTCTGACCCCCCCGCCCCTGCCTCTGCCTCCCCGCAGATCCACGCGCTCATCACCGGCCCCTTCGACACGCCCTACGAGGGGGGGTTTTTCCTCTTCCTGTTCCGCTGCCCCCCCGACTACCCCATCCACCCCCCCCGGGTGAAGCTCATCACCACCGGCAACAACACGGTGCGCTTCAACCCCAACTTCTACCGCAACGGCAAAGTCTGCCTCAGCATCCTGGGGTAAGAAGGGCTCCCCGGGGGTCCCCCGTGTGTGTGCGTGAGAGAGAGTGATTCCTCTAAGGGATGCCTGCAGCGTGTTTGTGTTTGTGTTTGTGTTTGTGTTTGTGTTTGTGTTTGTGTTTGTGTTTGTGATTGTGATTCCTCTATGGGCCGCCTGCAGCGCCTGTGTGTGTGTGTGATTCCCCCATGGGACGCCTGCAGCATGTGTGTGTGTGTGATTCCTCTATGGGACGCCTGCAGCGTGTGAGTGTGAGTGTGAGTGTGAGATTCCTCTATGGGACGCCTGCAGTGCAAGTGAGTGTGTGATTAAGTCTTGTATTGGCTAATGTTGGGATAACTGGAATAACTCTCTGTACTACCCAGGCAATAGTGCCTATCAGTAGCTGTGCCAGCTGTGCTGTGCTTGTTTCTGAAGCGGCTTTGTTTGTGCAGGACTTGGACCGGCCCAGCCTGGAGCCCAGCCCAGAGCATCTCCTCGGTTCTG